AGACCCCTATGGTGGCCCTGGGTACCTCTCCCAGGGCGACTCGCTCAGAAGGGTATCAGATAAATGTCACCTGGGGAAAAGAAAATCAAACCCGTCTTTGGTGAGTCCTTCTTTCCTCGTTCTAGTGATCTTGTTTCTTTTCTTTTAATTAGAGGGGAGTCACAGGGGAAAATCAGCACAACTGTAAGAGCACAATCAATAAAATATAATTTTTTTAAAAAGACAGATTAAGAAAGAGAAAAAGGAAGCGCGAGGAAAAAAAAAACCCTCACTGAAATAGTTTGGGGATTTACTTTTTTTTTTTTAATCCTCAGAAAGTCCCTCTTGCTACCTGGTTTCTAAAGCAGAGGATAAACACGGATGACATCAGGTTGGACGGCACTGGCTGTCTCATCGCCAGGGGCTCCCGGCAGGTGCGAGACTGACAGGTTGAGAGGAGATGACACTCTTTCTATCCTTAGAAGATGATAACCCAGGAGGAGAAATGACAGCAGTGGCTGGGTGCTGGGCGTGGCGGGAAACCTGACACCCTGCCAGGCGCTCTTGGCCCTTTGGATGAACTCTGCTGGTCTACGTGGGGGCGATGTGGAGCCCCCTTCCCGGCGGGCGTTGTCTACGCCTCCATCTGTCAGGCATCACAGTACGTGTCACCCCCAGGGCACAGGAAGCTGGGGTTGCAGCTATCTGAGCTCCATGGAGGCTCCCCCCACCGGACTTTCCAAACCAAATTTTGAAATCCACTCACTGTGGCCATGGCTTTGGCTGGACCCTTGCAGAGTGGGAGGGCCTTCCTCCGACCACACACGTCTCACACATCGCGGCCGAGCACTGAGCCAGCCAAGCTGCGTCGATGGCACCCAGGGTACAGATGCCAGAAGAGAGGGACTCCACCCCCAGTGGCTGGCTTAAGAGACCAAATGAGTCACGATGCCTGACCAGTGACCATGATGTCCCAGGGTGAAGTGGGAGGCCTGGGGACAGAGCCCGATGCAGAGACACAGCCACGGTGACTCACATGTAGACCTGAGGGCAAGTTCCATGCCCTGGATAGCTCTGCACTCGTCCCTGGGTGAGGTCATCCCCGCTGCTGCTCAGAACTGGGACTTGCGTCTTTCTCCCGGGGCACCAGCTGCCTTTGCACTCCCCGCTGCGGTTCGGGCAGCCCTCATCGTTCCAGCCACAGCGCCTCTCCCTGCCCACCACACACACATGATGGATGGACCTGAGGAAAGAGTGTGTCCTCCCTGGGCGTCAGACTTTTCATCCTTGAAAATAGCTCTTGCTCCCGATGATCTCACACAGGAGCCTTTAGGGCACAAAAGCCGTGGCTATGAGTCCTTCGAACGGAAGTGCGCTACGTCAGTGCAACCTGGTGACATTGTGATAGTCCTGACCACGACTGCCGCTAGTGGACCCAGCGGTGGGGCCACCATCTCCCTCCATGTCCTGGGGCCACTGGTCTGCAAGAAAAAGAGTGCATGGCGCTGGGTAGGAGAGTGTCCCCAACAGAGCCAGTGGCCAGGAGCTGGGGGAAGTCATCGGGAAACACACTCACACTTGGGAGAACGAGCACGATGACATCCCTACACAGGACCCACGGCTTCCTGCACCGGTCAAGTCCCACACTGTCACAGGGAGGAGGAGGAGGAGGAGGAGGAGGAGGAGGAGAAGGAAAGAAGGCTGCAAGAAATCTAGGAGAAGCCCTAAAGGGCTTCAGGGAGACCACAAGGCATGTCTGTGAGCAGCTGGGCCACTCCGTGGTGTGGTAATGTCACTGTCAGGTGGCCTGTAACAGCAGCCTGTCCCCCACACTGTTCTACCACAGAACGGAAAAACGGGGTAGCTGTTGTTCTCCTCCGATAATGCTTCCTACTCCCTTTATTACTCCTGCTCTCTTTCACTTCTGTCCTTCGCTGCTGAGCCTGCGGCCTGCCCATGTGACCCCTGGTGGCTTTGCAGGCAGGAAGGAGAGGAGACAGACTCTCATAGGAAGTCATGATTGCAACGCAAGAGGCTATCCTAAATGAGGCAGTGACGGCTATTGAGAACCAGCCCCCAGGGAGTTTCCACATGATTTTCAGCCCATCGTCACCATCAAGGCTATCTGTGGTCCTGGATGTGCAAGTGGGCAGGTGAGGAACAGTCACTTTCAATGCACCCTCCCCCTCAGCTACCATACCACCCCCTAGTAAGTCAGATCACAGCACGCTTTGCTCAAAACCCTGCTATCCTGTGGCTCCCAGCTCCCCAGTGGGAAAACTTGCCTTGGCCCCACCCCTACCCCCCAGGCTATCCCTGGTCCAGGCCTCATCCATGCGTGCTCAGTTCCCACTGTGAGCTCCAACCCCACTGGCACTCTTGTCCTTAAACACCCCAGGCACACCCCTGACTTGGCCTTGAGGTAGCTGCTCCTTCTGCAGAAAGCTCATCGCCTGATGGGCTCAGGTGTCACCTTCTCAATGAGGCATCTGCCCTCTTCAGCGCAGCCACCTGCCCCACTGTCTGCCCAGCATGCTTGAGTCTGCTTTCCAGCTCGGTCTGTCTTTCTCTGCCATGCTTTCACCTTCTCATAACCTAGATGCTTCACACAGTCACCATTTTTGCTGTTTACCACCTACCCTCCCCGACGGGAGGGCAAGGTCTGGACAGTGGGGTCGTGTTCTCTGCCGAGCACAGTCCTGGAACATAGCAGGCGCCCCACAGCCATCTGCTAGATGCATGAGTGGATGAATGAAGGGGAGTCACTGCCATTCCAAAGGGGACAAGGGGCTGTGTGCCTTACGGAATGGTGTTCAGCTGAGGGTCACCTAAGGAGGGAGGAAAGGGGGCGGCTGAGGCAGAGGTGCTGTTTTCAGGAAGGCAGTGCCCATACCTTCCCCTGGAAACCCCCCGGGAGTCACTCATTAACTCCCCTCCCCCCCACACACAGCCTGCCAGTTACCCGAACCCGACAGCAGCGAAAGAATCATTTAAGCAGCCGACTCTCCTTTCCAGGCCCATCCTGGTATTACCATACCAGGTAATCTACACCATTGTCTGAGCGCCCAGTCTGTACAGGATCCTGAAATGAGCAGTGAAAAGGGATGGGGTGAAAGAAACACCCAAGGCAGCAGATAAGGAGGCCCATTCCTGGCCCCGCCTGCTCTTAAGGCACTGGCTGGGGGGATGATGTGCCACGTGAAGGAGTGGACCATGGCGTGGCCCCTGTGGTTGCGGGGGTGTGAACAGAGGCAGGGGGCAGAAATATTCCAGTCTTGGGGGTAGGATGCAAAGCTAGTGGGCTGGGCTAAAGGGACTCAAGCCAGAGTAGGGAGAGGTGGGCCAATGCCCATTAAGATATAGTGCTGAGACAATAAAGAGGAATGTTGTTTGTTTGTTTGTTTGTTTGTTTGTTTGTTTTAGCAGAAAGTGACATGATGCATACTGAATTTGAGAAAGAGGCTTAGGAAAACACACACAGAATGACTTTGGGAAAGAAAGATGGGCCGGAGCCCTAGAGGGTGCCCCAGCAGGCGCTGCCACAGTCAAGGGCAGAGGGGTGGCTGCGAGGAGGATCGAATCAGAAAATGACCGTGGAGTAACTGTCAGGAGCCAGTGTTCCAGCGGATGGAGGAGGGAGGCCCACCAGCCACCTTCCTTCCAGTGGATCCACATGGAACTGGACAGAGGAGGGGAAAACTCAGAGACGAGGCTCATGCAACCCACACCCTCCCCTGACCACAGGGTATTAGCATCACCATCTCACAGATTAGAAAACTGAGACTTTGTAATTTACCCAACATCATATCCAGACTAATAAGAAAAAAAATCACCTAACATCTACTGTGTGCTTAATGTGTCCCAGGCTCTGAGCCAGGCACTTCACCCCATGTTTCCTCTCATCTCCAATCACAACACGGCAGGGATTACCCTTATTATCCCCATATTACAGATGTGGACACCAAAGGCCATCCGTCTGTGGTCACCAAGGGAGGAAACAGTGGAAGTAGGATGTGAATCCAGGTCTTCCAGGTCCATACTCTTTACCACTGTGCTGGACTAAGAGTGGACGATTTGCAGCATCACCTGCCCAGTTCTCAAACTCTGCCCAGCATCACACAGCACCCCTCTCCCAGGCTCCGTGGGAGAAACAGAGATGCTTTGCTGCCTCCAATCATGCACGCCCACATTCTGAGCTGCCTGCTACCTGCTATACTGACACGTACCTATGGGCCAGACTTACAGCCAGAAGGTGACTGCCGTGGACGGTGGGGTCTAGACAGCTATGGGCAAATCCTACCCTTTCAAGTCAGGGAGTGGCCCCGGGCCCAAATCATGCTTTATTAAGACCATACATCAGTCCACAGTGTTCCAGTAAGCCTTGAAATCCCCTTTAATCCTGCAATCTGTCTCTGAGCTCCTGAAGGTCAGCAGGTGCAATCCATACATTTCTGTTCCCTAGACCTGCAGGCTTTGAGCTGCCTACCTGAAGGCTCTCCCTGCACACTTCCGGACTTCTGTGCCCTGCTTCAGACCCTGCATATAGAGACCAGGTGGAGGAAGTAGACGCACACGCACCAGGCAGCTGCAGCAATGCACCGTCACGCAATGGAGAGAGAACCCAGCACCTCAAAACCCAGGCTTCGAATCCTGGCTCCCTCACTAAATAACTGTGCAACCTTGGGCGAATGACTGTACCTTGGTTTCCTCATCTGTAGACTGGGTGTGAGATGACTGACCTGCTAGGGCTATGAGAGGTGACGATGAGTTCATCTAAGTAAAAGCTGCAAGGACATAGCCTGGCTGGAATCAATCGGGATGAATACACATACACACACACACACACACACACACACACACACACACACTCTGCTTATGAAGCTGTGTTGCCAAACCTCCTCTGACGGCTGCTGCCGGCCAGCCCCTGCTCCGGGCTGCGTGCAGGTGGTGTGACGGATGTCGGGGTGACACAGCTGCACAGAAGCAGCTGTGCCCTGATTACCTTTCATGCTCAGGCTCACCTTCTCTCTTGTCCTTTCTTGGTTCAGAGCATCTGCCCAGGTTGGACACAAACCTGATTTCACCTGGAAAAAGAAGGAAACGGAATCATGAAACTTATCTTCCAACTTAAAACAGAGAGACAGAGATGCCTCTGAACATCAGCCAGCCTCCCAAGGATGTAGGCGTTTAGCAGCTGTTTATTCCTCAATACAGACTAAAACCACGTTAATTCAGAATAAAGGGAGAAATCCATTTCCCATGTCAGTGGTGGACGTGGCAAACTGCAGACTGCTTTCCAGAAATATAGGGTTATCTGCGTAATAAACTAGCCCCTGAATAAGCCCAGATGTAAATCGATATTACACTAGGTAGCGATTTTTTCAAGTTACAACAAAACTTAAATTCACAATGGAACTTTACTACACAATAATCTATCGCCATGGTTCCGAGCTGGTCTGCTTTTGTCGAGTCTTTCACTCAAAGGCTGCTGTTGTGCTATTTCTGAGTTTTTCTATGTTCCGACCTTATGATGTCTAAAGCCATTAAATGGGATAGACAACAAACAAGGAACACCCAACTCTGTGCCCAACCCCATTAAACACTTGATAAATTGGCTGTGCCTTGACCCATTTCATTGCTTTGTATGGGTTTTCCTCTATACTATCCACATAATTCCTGAGGAGATGTGCCCAGGTATCAGCATAGTTGCTGTTCCTGCTAAAATATTTAATCTTTAAATCCGACCTCTGTTCAACCGAATTCAGACACCAGGAAGAGTAGTATTTCAAAAGGTGTTTGGAGATAATAGCGCCATTCTCTGTCTCCCCATCATTAGGCTCAAAGAAATCACTCCAGACCCTTAGTTTGGCAAATGAAAACAGAGAGAAGAAAGAAAAAAGGGGAAAAACAATACCATCAGATTTGAAACAGAAAACTTGTAACCTTCACTCACAAGAGGAAGGATTGTCTGGGTGGCGTTTTGTTCCTTCGCAGTGCGCGCACACACCTCACCTCGGGGCTCGGGGCCCTCCTGTGGCTTCTAGAGTTACTGAGGACAGGGGCCGGGCGGGTACTCTGCAGCCACCCCATCCACCAAGTCCGGCCACCGGCTAGGGTCCCCTTGTGCTCCAGCCCCCTTTCCACCAAACCTGGGCACACGGGTTTGCTGGGCCCGGCTTCCTCTGCCACACACATGAACTCACCCCAGGACCACCCTAGAGTGCAATACAGGGCTCTTGACTCCGGCAAAGACCCTGACAATTTGAGCTCCAGTAAGAACTGTGCAACACTGGGGACCTAACTAGCTGAGTCGCAAATGCCAGAAAACTCAAAAAGAAGCAAGCAAAACCACAATGCACCCTCCAAGTCCAACTCTGACACCAGAATGGAGTCCCGTTCCCGTTGCTGCTTTATACAAAGTCACGCCAGATCCCAGCTCATGTTCGGTTTACCGGGTGCAAAGCATTCGGCAAACTCGTCGTGGTTGCAGCTTTATCCTTCCGGGACAGATAGGAAACTTCACACAAGTAAATCTAAACTCACCCGGCCCCATGACATCTCAAGCCACCGATCAGGAACAGATACTCGGGATGGGCTTAGTGGGAGATGGGAAAGGATCTTCCGTAAATCTGAAGGTTGGGGGAAGACAAGGGGGTGAGGAAGGGATCAGACTTAGCTACTCACTGAAATCGCTGTCCCCCTCCACCGGGCAACTGGAAAGTCACGCTGAAGCCTAGTACTAAGTGAAGTCTGGGCACTGCGTTTAATTTTTTTATTTTAAAATCAAGTTTAAATTTAAACCAAGTAAGTGCAGCAAAGACGGAGGATCATCTGGTGACCTTGTTAAAATCCAAATGCAGTGGTCTGGGGTGGCAGCCTGAGATTCTGCACTTCTACCAAGTTCCTGGGTGGACCCAATGCCAGTGGTCCAGGAACACACTCTGAGTAGCAAGGGCTTGGAAGGGATGCCCTCAAACACCTGCTTACGCCCCCTCCCTGGAACCTCAGACCTCTCCAGCCAGGTCTTTCCTTTGTGGGCTGCAAACCAGCACCCTTCCTGTAGGCCCTGGACACCGGCCCAGCTGACTTCTGGAACGTCAGGTGGGTAAGGGAGCCACCACTCACATCCCAAGACATAGCCACCCTCTCCACTTGCTCCTGTACTCAGTTCTAGGCAACCCGACCTCTAGAACAACTGCATCAAACAGAATGGTTACTTTCTGCTCTGAGATGAGTAGAAATAAGCAGAAGTTTCTGCTCTTCCCTCTTTGCTTTTCCCATTGGCATGGCCATCCAGGGCCGGAGGAATATGCTGGGCCTCCCAGATCGCTGGGTCGTGCCTCTGTCCCCTTGCACTCTGGTTCCAACGTCCGCCATGTGGAGCCTGTGTGGCTGCACACACTCCTCCCGACGCTGTGCCCATCCTCTGCGTGGACAGCTCAGGACAGGGAGCGGGCCACGGCGTTCCTACAGAAGCGGGCCAACAGCAGTACGCCACGCCTGTCACCAGATCTCTGAGGGAGGCCAGAGACGACCACCAGCTACCCACAGCCTGTCCCCACACGTCCCTCCCTTCCCATACCTCCCACCTGACCAGTTCCTTCCAGACATCTCCGGGGAGGCCCTGAGCCAAACACCACCTAGTGGTTCTCAATCCAACCAAGATGGAGGACCGTTCTTCCTGCACACCTCTGAGGAACAGAAGGCCCAGCAGGGGAGGCCACATGAAGACGTTAGCCTGGAGCGTGTTCTCTCCTGCACCAGCTCGCTCCGCTCCCTCCAAACTCCACCATGCCCACAACGCGAGGCCGCACGCTACAGAAGAAGGCCAGGGTGTGGAAGGAGACGTGGGACAGGACATGGGATTTCAACACTTTATAACGGGAGTGACGTCTGCAAAACAGGGCCCGTAGCGGTCAGGACGCCAACCCGCTGGGTCCCACTTCTAGGAACCTACCTACGGCCGACACACCCACTACCCGGTGACCAGGACCCAGGGCGCTTTTAAGGGCCCAAGAGAATGTTCTAATTTCTTTTATAATCAGAAAGAATTAAAGGACTGTAATATAAATGCCCATGTAGCAATGAATGCAGCCTGGATGATTCTCGTCCTTACACCACTGCAGTCATAAAATATAATTTTAATATCTTTTTTTATGGAGAAAGGGGCTCATGAAGACAAAGTGCCCAAGATCGCGAGCACGATAATTCATCCCTGAACTTGCCAGCCTTCATTCAGACTCCTTGTTGAATGCCCCTGCCGATCCCCGCCCCTGCCCAGAGACCCATCCCTGACGGCCCGGTGCTTCTGCCCTTGACTCTGGCTCTGTGTCAGCCTCCGGTGTTCCATCCAGGCAGATGCTCCAACAGCCCCCGCCCCCACCTCACGGAAGCCGCAGCCAGGTGGGGCCAAGCGGGACCTCTGAGTCCAAACACACACCCCCAGCCCCCTGAAGCATAAACATTGAGCACACATCACACCCAGGCCTATAAAAGATAATTATACAATCTCATCTGGCAAATTAGAGCCATAGAACTGTCTAATTCGTACAATGAATTTGAGGGTTGGATCAGCAGGAAGAATCACCCTGGATCTTTATTGGGATTTGCCCCCAGGCCAGGATTAGGGTTTATTTATCTTTTTTTTCACTTTCTTGCTGGGGGACAGGGGGCAGGGGACAGGGAAGGGTCTCCTCTGGGCTTGTCTCTCCCTCCCCCCACCCCATCCCAGTCTGCCATTCAGACAAGCAAGGCACCCAGTGTTCTTCCCCATAAAGCACCCAACTCCAGACAGAATGAAATAAAGCACCAACAGGAAGAAATGATGGATACGTAGACAGCTCGGTAAATACATTTTCACAAAAGAAAACTTGGGGCGTCCCAAATCCAAACTAAGGGCTTCAGCAATTGGCATTAACTCAATACAGAATAAACCATCAAACAAACGAACAAACAAAACCCTGACATGCCCAAATGACAATTTCCTTTCTAATTATTCTGGCCTGACTCTGAAATGTTTACTTGGAAAACACTCACTTACACATATTTCTTTAAACACCTCTCTCTCTCTCTCTTTCTCTCTTCCCCTCTCCACGAAGTCTTGAGAGAGAAGAGGGCTATTTACAGGAATCGGTGCCCAACTCCTCAGCTCATTAAATAGCTGTGTCACCCCAGAGTGGTGGCCACAATGCCAGGACAAGTTGACACCAAGCGAGGATCATCCTGCATCGAACCAGAGCAAACACTAAAAAGAACAGCAAGCCTTTTCCTCTCTTCCCTTTTGCACCTTTCCCTGAGTTTCCCCTGGGAAAGACAGTTCCCTACGCAGACCCCTAAGTCAGCCCTGCAAAGGAACACGTGCCCTGGGCCTGGGGGACAAAGCCCTGGCCTGTAGAGAGGTATCTGGCATCAACACCTTAGTCAACTCCTACAAATGAAGGCCAGTCTGAGAAATGAGGCTGTGAGGTGTGCAGAGGCCGAGGCAGCTTGGTCCACGTTTAAGGCCCGCACGATCAACCCAGGAAATTATTTAGATGTGCCTCTCTATGACCTGGAGCAAAGAAAGTGTGCTGTGCTGTTCTAGGCTTGTGTGGGGGGCCTCCAGCATGTCTGCCCTTTAATCAAAGCGGCATGAACCCCCCTTTAAATGAGGGCTTATTATATAGGCAAGTGAACCTGGAAAATCTCTGTACGGGGAGTGTGTGTGTGTGTGTGTGTGGGCGTGTGTATGTGTGTGTATGTGCGTCTACTCCAGGATGCGGATCTTAAAGGAAAAGAAACCAGTTCTGACTTAACCGCCTCTGACGTGAAACAATGGACATGTGGTTTTCTTGTGCCTAGTCCGTTGGGACGCGAGGTGACCCGGTTCAGAGTGGTGGGCAGGCAGGATGCAATGCGCAAGCTCACTGTCAGCTGGGCTGCAGTTTTTGTTAAGACTTGCAGCCAAAATCTCAGACTCTGATTCCAAAACAGCTGAGACGAGCGTGCACTTTTTGGAAGAAGATAAATACCCCAACTGTGCCAACTGCATTGAGGAGTCTGAGAAAAAGAAGGGAGGCAGTGAAGAAAGTGCCCCTCTTCCCGA